TGGACGCCAATCGTTTCGACTGGTCTCCTTTTTTTTCCTCGCCGCGCTTATCAATTCGAGGAAAAACGGGTGAACGGCACCGATAACCGGAGAAAAGGCTACCGTAGGAACGCTCAGCGAGCGCAGATAAACCGACAGGAGACGGTTACATTTATGTTGGCCGATGATCGATAGGGTTTTTATCGCGACGGAAGCCGAATCACGGATTCTTGGTACTAATTGCCGATCCCGGAAGACCCTCGATCGCCGCCGTTCTGAATGAAAACGGCGTTATCTCGCGGTAAGCGCGACGTCGTCTATGACAGCCGGCGATTACCCGACGATTCTGGCCGCTAATCTATCCGAAACTCCTCTTCCGCCTCCGCGATGCGACTTATCCCTGAATCCGTTCGCCTGACGCTGCTCGAGCTATGATTTCGCCGAGAGCGTTTGTTTAGGAGCCACTCCGGTTATGAAAACAAGCAGAAGTTCTAGTCGATCTCAGTCGCGTAGAAAAAAGCGAAGAAAAACTGGGAAACAACGTTCACCGGCTTTTTCCGTCCGAGACGTCAATCGTGTTTTCCCAAGATTCGGCCCGTGTTTGTTTAAGGCCGGTGAAAAAATCGTGTGTCGCCTAACAGCGGAGTTCATCTCGAAGACAGTAGCCGATAATAACCTATAATTATCTGTGAGGGAACGGGGCGGCCGTATATCAGCGCTCCTTAAATAGTCCTCATGCAGATGCTTTCTAAATTAGAGGGTTGCCCGATCAACGTCTTAATCGTCCATTAGACGGGACGTTCAATTACAGTAGACTTTCGTCGCGCATTATTCTGACATAACTGCATTCCTCGGCGGAGGAAAGCGCTACTTAACGACTCTTACGTAACCGGCATTCCGTGGACCGTTCGGCGTGATAATAAAATGGCGGACATCGCGCCGCGCGAAGCTACCCCGAGATTGCAACCGATCGTGTGAAATTCAAACTGCTGGAAGCCTGTTCGGCCGGGCACGTAAAAAAGGGATGGTTTGAAAGGGAGCGGGACTGCGACGTTCGCCTCGTGGATTTTATACGGGACGACGCATCCTTGGGCACGGCCAAGGACCAGTATCCTGATTGCAGGGCATTGTGGTGCGCGGCTGCGTTCAGCCGCGGTGAAAAGCGTCGACGAGCACGACGCGACCAGCGGGATTCCCCCGCCATTAGGCCGATGTCGCTGTCATGCGGGTGCGCCGGCACGTAATAATTAATGCGACGCACAATTTATTACGCCCCCTCGCTTCCTGGTACGCCGACGAAGGAAATGGACCAGGAAGACTCGAGACTTTCGACGGATTTTCTTCTTCTGCTCGTCGAAACGTCGGCTCTTGTTAGCGGTGGGTCGGGAAGTGGGTTGCCGAAGGTATTGGCTAGGTGTCAAGTTAATTTGCTACGGTCGACGCTATCGGTGAAGCGTACACCGAACACAATATTGCTCTAGTAAAACAGTCTCGTGCCAAATTTCATTGAAAAGTCGTAGAAATTTAGTGAAAGTGACCTAGTATTCGCAATGTATTCTGCTCTTAATCGAAGAAACTGCTCGAGAATCGAGATATTCAGCCTAGAAAATTGAAATTCAGGTGAAAATGCTTCACCTCGTGCCGGATAATAGATACGCCCAAAGTAATTCGATTGACACACCGCTTCTTGCGCCGGAGAAACCGCAAGGTTCGTTCGTCCGACGGAATTCGATCCGCCGCAATCCGTCGGCGATTTTCGACGCGAAGTTTTTGCCCGGAATCAATAGGACACGTACGTTCCCGTTCCGCTTCTGGGTCTCGGACCTGTCCCGCGTGCTCGGACCTCGCAACATCCGGCGCGGCGGCCCGTGGTTCCGGCTGTCTCTTGTAAACGCACTTCTTTCGTACCAACCGGTCTTGATAAAACATACTTCGACGAAGTCAAACCGTTCGTCGCGTCGGCTTCACCGTTTGATCCCGACCTTCTTCCTTCCAGCGAGAGAATGGTTAGCTTGCCAGCGACGTTCGCACGATTCCAGAAAATCCGAATGTTCCCTCTGTTACGCTGTCACGATTGAAGCGTCTTGGAACATTTCGAAATCCTTTGTCCTATCATTCTCACGTCGCGAAGACATTCCTTCCATCTTTGGCTGCAAGAAGGCCAGATTCTTCGGGGGAGAATCAACGCGTGTTGCTTGGTCTGAATACAAGGTCGAGATGATATCTTCGTCATCCTTCACCCCATTATCGTTTCAATATTCCCTTCCCTTCCGTTATAATGTCCATTGTTCAGAGTCTAGGGTCTTCGCTTTGAGAACTCAAGATTTATCATTCTTAATCCGCAGTAGCTACTATGTAAAAGCGAAGCTTTGCAGCGAAGTATATCTTTTTTGTACAAGTGAACGAGGTTGAACGTTTAATTCAACATTTGTTTGACTTATTTCTAAACAGAGAACTAAATTTCCTGCGATAAATTATTCACAATCGGTTAGACGTCTACCGATACATGAAAATCAGGTTTTGCTATCCAGAAGAGTCCGAAGTAGCAACTATCTTCCGATGTAGCAACTACCCGTATCAAGTCATCGAGGAGACGTTGACATCATAAGGATCATTGCACGCGACTAAGAATTTTTCATATTTCCCGCCACTTACGTAAAGCTGTGCGGTAACCTGGAAGCCGCAGCAGCGCGTCCCTTCCCGCGGACAGTTAGCACGACCGAAAAAAAACCTGACCAGAATACGTTTTATTCCGTACCGGTTCCAGCATCCTCGGTTGTAACCGGGCAAACGAAAGATCGTCCGTGCTTCTGCGCGGCCCTTATCTTATCGGGCGATGATAAAGCCTCTGTGGTCACGTTGCGTCGAATTTTAAACGAGTTTACGATGTCCTCCTCCAAAAACCGTTCTCCCATTTCTTTGTGTCCAATAAATCGTCAATGAGTCGCATTACCAATCAACTCATCTACCGTACAGTCTAGTTTTTGCGGTGGAACGCAATTTTTCTCAATTCTAAGCGACGTATCGGAGCAAATCCGATGATCCACGGGGAACGATTAAGTGGAACCACCAGCGTACTTTTTCGTCTACGTTCCGAACCGGCCGCAATGTGCGACGCCCCGGCATGCGGGGTTCTCACAGAGAATTCTCGGTTCCACCGACAAAAACTGCGGGACCGACAAAGATAAACTCTGCCGTACACCGCGGCCCGAATGTTCGAGGCGTATTCGGACACCCGAACGAAGAAAATAATTCATTGACCCCCTATTTACTTTCGGTCGACAGTTTTTTCCCGTGAATTTATTTTGTGTTTCTTTCAGGGAACCGAGACACAGAAAAAGAAGCTGTTTTACGGGCGGAGCAAAGTGTTCGAGGTAGCATAACATCGGTTTTTTACGATCGCGTGGAAACGGCGAGGTGTGAAACGACGGCGAATAAGTTTCACAAGATTTTCGTCGGCCTGTTCCGTTGTGAAAATATATTCCAGCCAGGATATACGCGAGCAGATGGCTCCACGAAAGAAGCTAACGGAAGCCAAGTCACTCGCCTGCCGCCGACCTTTTGCGCGGCCGCGTGTGAAACGGGCCAGGCGAATTTCAAATCCATACAATGAAACATAGTATGGTTGCACGCGTATCGAAGTCGCGAGTCCGCCGGCCGTTAAACGCAACGCCAGAAACTGGGATGCGATAATGGAAACCGCGCGCTTTTCAAATGCGCCGACCTTAATTCCCATTAGTCGAACCGAGGTCGTCCCATGATTAGCGATACAATTAAACGAAATACGATTCCGTGTGCAAAAATACCTCGAAAACGGTGAACACGATACCGCGGGACCTTGTTTCCGAGAAAGTTAATTAACCGCGAGTCTAATTGCGCGTGCAAGAATTACATTTCAAAACGGTTTAGTAGGTCTGACGATAGAACTGGATCGTAAATATCTCTCTGTGTATCATTTGTACTTATTAGTGACTTACACTATGTTCGCGAACAAGTTCGAACGTTGAGCATCCTATTTGAATATTTTCGAATCTTGCTATTTTGTTCTATAGAATCGGCTCGCGTTTGAATCGTTGCACAATGACCGAAGAAGAAAGAGGCTCTGGGAGAAGTCGTGTAAAATTTCGTATTTAAATGTGGCCATTCGGGTGTCCTCTGTTCAGTTTCCTCGCAGATGTCGAGAAAAAGTGGCCTCCCTAAACATCTTGTCCGGGATGAAGGGCCTCGGGAGAGTCATGTTTCTGTTCGCGCAAAAAGGGATGCGAAACCGCACGGTGCGCAGTCGTAGGCTCGGGTCGTGAGAAACGCACCCTCGAATTCGAGACTTGACTTTCTTCCCACAAAAGTGACTATCCGGTGACGTTTCCGAGTAATATTCAGAACCCAACTCGACGTGGAACTCCTCGGTTAACGTCGCGCACATCTCGGCCCGTTGGATTTCAATCCTCATTTGCATCGCAGATAACGCTATTTTCGTGGCCAGCGGTAATCAACGGCGGCGCGGTGCGTCAGAAATAATCACGGATTAAACGCACGTCCCGCCGATGGATCCCATTAGCCGGGCAAGGACACACGTGGTACAGCTGTTAATAAGCGCGGGGAATCGTTTTGTTCTCGTTTTCACGAAACCGTTTCACCGAGCGTCACGGATAACGTTTTGTTCTCCTCGTTGGCTTCATTAAGCGACCGCGTCATTGCTTTTTCTTCCCTCCCGCGTTGCTCGCCATTCGACCTTTCTCTCGGGGTGACTCGACGCGCGACTTTTTCCATTAAACCCGATACTAACGCGTTTCTTGTCCCCCTCTGCGAGGGCAATTATTGCCGGACGCGCGATTGGTCGCGGCTCTCCGAGAGATTGATTTCAGATGAAAAATTCGGCTATTGATTCTTTTCGGATAGGTGATTCGGTGGTCTCGCGTCAGAAAAAGTTGTAGTTTCGTTTCAGTTATTTGAAGCACCGTGATATCCAGATCGGCAGGGGTCAAAGTTACAGAGAAGTCGAGTCTTTTTGAATGTCTTACCTGTTGTTGAGAGGCGTCGGCCGGAGAAAAGCTGGATAGAGCTGTTAGGGGCGCGAGAGACGCGCAAGAGGACGCCCTCGAGGGTGGCGGAGTATGACCAGGAGTTGGACTTCCGCTTCCGCAACTGCTCGCACCCCCGCTCGAGGCGAGGCTCACGCTGTCTGCTCGCCCTCTCCACGGCGAGACCGACACGTGCTTCAACATTCCTCTGAGCTCACCTGTAATCAGCGGTTTTTTCGTTTTTTTTTACTGCCTTCTTGACTTTCTTCCGTCTGTGCGAAAGAAACCTCTTCCCTTTCTCTCGTAATGGCGAGGGGGAGGTACATTTCAAGATGAAATTAGAGCAGACAATAGAATAGAAGACACGCTTAACGACTAATAGAAAGGGAAAGTGTTGATTCGAGTAGAAATATCTTCTTTCATTGAGAATTATCTGAACATCCCGAGCAAACGGTGCTTTCGTTGGTAGGCTCACTACGCGCTTGCGCGTTAAGGGGTTAATAAGAGATCCAAAGGATCCAGATGCGGCGAAAGAAGAATAATACCGTGCCTCTATAATGGGAATCGTTTCACAGCCTTTCTGTTGTTTCAACGAAAACGAAATCTATTTAAGCCTAGCGTGATAAGGCACACTCGAGGCTTAATGCGGGGATTTTATAGGTAATTACGTTTATCTGGCATCGTAAATGCTTTTGTTTCGCGTGGATCTACCGTGAACCGGTGGAAAGAGCTGTCTGAAAGCTCTCCCGTAAAATTGCGTGTGGTACGCGCTATTTAATGGTCACTAGTAACTCTATAAATACCGAGCGGACTCGATTGTGCCGAAAAAGTCCCTGTTACATCGCGTTTATCTCCTATATCGGAATCTATTAAGCAAGTTCGCCAATCCGGGGAAAATCAGGATTAAAAATGGTTCAATCCAAAGTTTTGCTTTTGCAGAAAAGGAACTGGTTCGCCGCGGAGCCAGACAAGGAACGAATGTAGCGAATGATTAGCGGGAATCTCTCGGGAACAGGTTGGAGCCCAAGGTGAAATTCTTGCTCCAATTTTCGTCGGACAACGTGTGCCTCTATTTTTATGTCTGAAATTGGTGTAATCAAATCTTTATGTTCCGTGGAAACGGGCTGATCACGCCAGTAGCGTATCCGACCCGTGTCAAGGCAGCAAAAGGAAATAATCGCGACGAAGGCCGTTCGATAATTGTCGAAGAGCGGTCGCGTGATTGCCCGGTGGGTAAACGTGGAAAGCCCGGCGAAAGAACGACCACGCATTCCTTGAGATTTTGATTTTAACAGTACAGCTATCGAACAATTGAATAGCTGAATATTTAATACATATTTTCTCATATAAATTACAAGATTTCGTTGATTCGAATTTCGATTGATTTATATTTTAGAATCTACTACAGTTTAGAAATGTTCTATTCATTAGCCAGAAATCTGTACCGCTCGTTATTAGACGGCAAGGGGTTAATAAACATCTAAACGCAGCGCAGCTGTACGCCAGAAGTTTTTCAGCTTGAACATTCGCGGGACGAATTGAAGCTCGCTGACGTCGGGGCGCGCTGCTTCGCAGAAGCCACAGGCTGGCCCGATTGTTGAATATTTCCATAATGAGGGAGCGCAAGAAAATGGTAACTATTCCCACACCGTTAACTGTATCTTCTCCCATTAATAATAATTAGCTGGAGCAACGCGCCGCTTTTAAACGATCCTCGTCGAGAAGCACGCCGGATCACGCCGATAATGGGAATCGTTTTTATTCTCATTCGGATTTAACGCTTTCCACGCGGAATAATCTTGTTTTCGTTGGGATCCCCGTAAACCAAAAAGAACAGGCCTTACGTAAATGTATTCTAATTTATTCCCCATTAAATTCTACAATGAGTCATAACTATTAACGAAGATAGCTGAATGGAATTTGCAGAGGGAATCTCGCAGTACAATACGCCAATTGTTTCTTAATCCTCGTTGATTTATCGATAATCAGTAGCGATTCGTTTCGAGTACCTGATAGCTCGAACACATGTCTATACACAAGGTTTCCCAATCAATGCTCATCATCGATAAACTTACTCGGCGATACTTACTTTTACGAATTCACAGCTGAGTGCAGCCCGCACCCGCGGTCCGGTTGCGTACGTCAATGCGCGGGAATCATGTTTACACTTGGCGAACAAGCGGCATCGATTGCAACTGGTCACACAGTCCAGCACTTTGAATAAAATCCCTTCAGATCCTCTACTCGGTAGACACCGTTCCAACAGTCACCAACTTCAAAACTCGATCAGAGTTCCTGACAACCCGATACACTGTGCACCTCTAGAATCCACGTGATTTCACCAAAGAAACAGAACTCTCCCAGTCTTCGATCTATCGATCCTCCTTCGAAGGCTGCTCGATTAGTCGAAAGAATGACAGATGATTCGACAGAAAACTTCGTCTAACATTCCTCTGATCGATGAACGCGTTTGGTATCGCTCGTGGAGGCGAGTGCACCGCGTTCCACACGCCGCGAGCGCTGCGCTACGACTGAACCCGGAGCGGACGAGTAAAACCGACGTGTAGTAAGCGGGCCGGGCGGCGTGGAGGAAAGAAAACGACCTTCCTGCGGAGTACACGAGACGCGTCGAACGCACGGTGAATGTTTGAGCGTGTTTCGGTGTGTTCGAGCGGGGGCGGCCGTGTGTGCCCGCGGAGGACGCGCCACACGCTCGCGACTTTTCAGCGACGCGTGGGCGCGCTCGCAAGCCCGAGGATGTCCGTGGATTAATTCGGTTTCCCTACTGATTTCGCCCTTCCTTTCGCTTGTCACGGGGTGCATACATTATGATGCATTCACTGCGCCTGCACAAAAGATCCTAATCGCGCACGAATTGGAATATTCTAATTCTGCCCCGGAAACATCGTAACTCAGATTCGAGGAATTCCTTCCGTTAATTAGAAGCTATCGGAATTCTGTTAAGTTTCACGCGGACGCCCTTTGCAATCTTGTTTTATCAATGTATCGGTTTATGGATTTCTATTAAAAATTATTGTGAGAAGTGGAGTACGATACGAAATGCATGAGTCTACTAATTGATAGAAATCGAATACAGAAAGAGTTGTGCGAGTCTTAGATACAGATCTATATGATTTTTAATTGCTCCTCTGGTTTGAGAATTATTTTCAAGTGTTCAGCGCATCTGTGAACCTGTCCGGAGAGAAATAACTCATTCGATGACAGAAGACTCTAAATCAGAATTGAAATTCCGTGAACGGAACTAGTAGCTTCCTAAGCGAGTAGATTACAATGTCGGTGGAGAGACAGGCCTTACCTACTAATGAACACGAGACTTCGTGCATACTTGAAAAGTGCATTATGATTAAGGTACATGTGTTTGACATTTTTTTCGTATTGAATATTCCGTGCACAGGGGATTCAGTTGAGGGAGAGTTGCATAGGAACATTAGAATGCATATTTCCCAGGTAACCTTTATGCGTTCACGCCTCAGCTTTCAATAAGCCAATAAAAAACGTTACGCGTATACGTATATCACTTCAGAAAATATTACTGTATTTAACCCACGAACTATCCAACGTTCAACGATTCGAACTTTCAATTTAAAATTCAAAATATACGTTTTTCTTTAGCGGAAAGCAAAGATCGTTAAACCGTCTCTGATAAACACCCACACGACGACGTTAACTCCCATGTAGCTGGCCACGATGACGACTTATCACGGCCAGAAGTTACGTCTTCGAAACGGAGGAGACGATATTTTATTTACGCGTTGCTACCCGACGACGAAAGAGGGAAAAGAAACGAACGATCGCTTCCTACGTGATCGGTCAGATCGTAGCTGCATGGGCGTCGATCGTTCCTCAAGGAAGAAAGGGTTCGACGACGAGTGTCCCAGTGAGCGGAGGTTCACGTAGGAGTGAAACGAATCTCCGATTCACGTCGAGCGGCCGTTACAGTCTTGAAATATTCATACGCGCGGAAAAACCGCTTCCCAGATTGCCAGATTGCCGGTCCGGGAACCGAGAGGAGAGGGAAAAACCGTGGTTCGGTTTCCTAGCGCCTCAGATACGATCTAGATCGAATCACAGCGGCGTTGTTCGTGGTACGCGCGCGATGCCGTGGCGCGAAAGATGAACGAAAGTTATGCGTTTGCTTTCATTCCGGAAGCAACGGGAACAATTTCCTCGTGCCGGTGATAATCCTTTTTACTGATTTCTCCCACGATGAATTGTCTGGTTTCTCGTCTACTTCGGATTCAGACGGGCGAAGGCTTCATTAGGAGAAATTACCGAAATTACACTTTGCGAGTTACCGTTACTGAAATTCAAACACCAAGAACTGTGCCGTTGTCCATTTATTAAATGTAACAACCAGTGGAATCTAAATTTTGAAGTTCAAAGAAAATTATCTTCACTTTGTTCGCGTATGGAAGTGTTTTATTCGAAAGCAACGGGAGGGCGGAAATTGAGTAGCACCGGTTCGAGAGCACTTGCTGATAGATCATAGGGTAGACAGTTGGGCGTAAAGGTCGAAGGTGGGCAGCGTTATACCTGGATGGAATCCTGGCAAGGGGAGCTGTGCGCTGCACAGGGTGGCCTTTGTAATTCGAGGCGCATCACGGGCAGAATGCAGGTGGAGCCATTAGAAATGTATCGAACGGGATCTCTGTAACCGATACCTTTCACGACCCAAGCCGCGGAATGGTAATCGGGAAAAGGTGTCTGGTTTTACGGCCCGTAAATTGTATCCGCATGCTCTGCCAGCGTCGTTATTAATTGCGAACCGTCTCGACCTCGTATTCACTGGAAATATTCTTTTATTCGGGAGATTTCCTCGGTGACCGGGGTCGAAGACCCGCAAACGCGATGAGGACGCTCGAGATAATTCGAGTGGCGGCGCCTTCAAACGGCGACCAGCGGCGATCTTAAAAAGTGCACGGTGCAACGTGAAAGTCGTGGAGTATCAGCCACGCGTGATATCGCGATTCGCTCGTGCAACACGCGTGCCTTTTGTCGCTAACAACGAGACCCCTGTGAAGTGTTCCCCTACCTAGCGGTCTGGCTTCGCTCACGGCGATCTCGAGGGGAAAATTCAATTAGCTTCGGCAACTAGATCGACCGCGTTCCAGCTGCAATCTTTAGATAAACTCGCGGTGCGTGTTGCGAGAGGAACGCGCAATCGAAAGTGTCGCTCTTTGCTGAATCTCTGACGAGCCCTTTGAACTGAACGACGGCTGAGTGGTTTGCTGCAAGCATTTCTGCTCGGCGATGGTGCAGCGCAGATTAGACTGCTCAGTCTCCAAAAATCGATTCGCTATTCATCTTGAAAGCAATCCTTCCTGCTGTTATTCAAATCTATTTAAACCGACCAATTCTTAACATTCCATTTCTATACAACACTTGCTAATTTTCAGTAGAGAACGTAACATTTCCAAATACTAATTTCCCATGGTAAATCTAGCTGCCAACTGACACAAACCGTCAAATCACTAAACAAGGAATCTACAATATTTCCAGTATTCAATAAAAATATTCTCTTCGCATTGATTCGTTATTCAAATCTACTAAAACCGACCAATTATTAACATTCCATTTCTATACAACACTTGCTAATTTTCAGTAGAGAACGTAACATTTCCTTATACTAATTTCCCATAGAAAATCTAGCTGCGAACTGACACAAACCGTCAAATCACTAAATGAGAAATCAACAACAATTCCAGTATTCAATAAAAATATTCTCTTCGCATTGGTTCACAACCGAAGGGCGGTTTCCAGGCAAGGGAACACGGCTAGAACGAAGTCGGCAGGCAAATCGGAACCACGGTGGTCAGCCACTTTATCCTCGTGCACGCAGCGAGCAGCGTCGGGGCAGCTCGACGTGCGTACGCCGCTATGGGAGTTTGGCAGGCGGCGGTCCAGTCCTGGCCGGGTCTCATGGTGTTGCGTTACTTTCCCACAGGCGAGTCTCTTCCTCCGTGTGTGCAATTCTTTCGAGGCTGCACGCCCACCACCGCCTGTGTACACCTGCACACGCACGGCCGCAGGACCGTGCACACGGGAGGAACAGAACGGGAGAGAGAGAGAAAAAGGGAGAGAGAGAGGGAGAGGGAGAGAGATCGGGGCCAGCGTCGGACAGCGTTCGTGAAACGAAAACGGGGTGGAGAATGAAAGAAAGAGGGAGGAGAAGCACGCATCTCACCTTGCAAGGCGAACCTGTTCGCCGGCAACGAAACGGAATATCGCCGTAACCGAGTGTTACGACCTGAAAATAATGTTACCCCCGGAGGATCTTTAAATTTCAGGCTGTAATGCTGCCGGAAGCTGGCACGACAAAGCGGGCCGAGCTCGCAATTAGAATGGAAAGCCGGCGCGTGAGATTGGGTGATAAAGAATCGAATACGGGACCGGTATCTCGATCATTTTCTCGTGAAGCCGACGGAACTCATCTTCCTCGTTCGATAACATAACCGGATTACGAAATGATTTCACTTAAACACCGCGAGTCGCGTGGTTTCATTAAAAGTGAGAAGATATTCGATATGAGACTCTTCGACGTGCCCTTTTTTTAATCGCAATCGATGAAGATTCGAAGGAGAACGATCGGGATTTAATGTCAATCCTCCGTTGCGGCGAGGTCCAGCTTCCGGTCTGCGTGACGGGCCTCGTTTCCGGGAGCGTTCCGTGCTGCATGCATTCAAAGGGACCCCATCGAGTGGTCTCTTTCCCCGTGGTCATCGGCGGGTTCGACTCGTTTCCCATGGGTGTTGCTTTCGTCTGTAACAGTACACTAATCCCGATAACGCGGCGCTGCTTTGTTTAGCTACTCGGTTAACACGCTTGTCGAGATAATTGGGGAGAGATATGGTAATGAAATTGGACGCGTTATCCTTTCGTCGATTCCAGCAAACAGTTTCAACATTTTTATTTGAAACACAACCTTTTTGCAAAGTCGAATCGAGAATACTGAACACCTTTGAAGTCTCGTCGAGCGAGGAATCAGTCTTTAAATCATGTTCTCCCTCTTTTCAATCAATTGAATGCGAACTCTAGTGTACCAAGGCGTCAATTCAATATTTTAATCTCTTCGAATCACCGCGGAACATTATCCTGTCTCGCGAACTAAGCGAAGTGTTCAGAGTTTCTAAACAGCGAGGTGATGGACGACCCGATCCACGGGTTACGATAGATCCTCGCGAGGAGACGATTTATACTCTGTTGCGTCTATTGTCGGTGACTGTTTGTCAGTGGGCGATCAGAATTGTTTACCCTATGACTTACTCGTCGGCCTGTTAGTCATAACTTCTTCGTCATACGATATTCAGCCGGGCTTAAGATCGTCGCCGTCATCGTAAACGTGACCTCTTCCACGTGACACATAAAAACTGTTAACAATAGAACACGCTCGTGAATTCGCTCGGATCGTCAATCATATTTGTCGAACGCGGACACTTCCAGGTTCGGAGATAAAATTCAATTTCCGCGTACCGTGGCGACGTGACGATCTTTTCGACCGAACGAACAGATACTTCTCTTCCTCGTTTCTTCGATGGAGCGATATTTTCCGGTCTGGCGCGGCCTTACCGTATCATCTGCTCGTTCGTTGCCCCTCGTTGCCC